CTGACATTACTTGAGACTTGACTTGAGACTTGAGGATAAAGACTTGAGACTTACTTGAGACTTGACTTGAGACTTGAGGATAAAGACTTGAGACTTACTTGAGACTTGCAAAACAATGACTTGGTCCCACCTCTGTATATATATATATACACACACACACATACATATGTGTAGTGTTTTACCACATTATTTTAAAAAAACATATCAGGAACCTAAAAATCTGAAGTCTGCTGAGATCCTGGCAATAATAATTTATTAAAAACTAAAGAAAAGTGAAGATACAGTTGTGGTCAGACCTTTATTATCCATGATTACTTGGGCCTTTTAATAAGTGTTTTGAACTGCTCTTTTTCCATGCTGGAATGTTTGTAAAGTCTTTAATTTGGCTGCATACGTTTCAATTTATTTTGGATTTTCTTGAATCCACACAAGGTCAAAAGGGTACATACATGCTCAAACATATACATGCACTCACTTAAATATTTAGTAATGAAAGCTGAAGATTATACAGTGCCAGGGCTTTGTCAAGTTTTTAGCGATCATGATTGACGTTGCTGGCATAAAAAGGATTTCTTTGACACCCGTGGAATTGCCCAATACTCAGAACAATGGGAAAGTCCAAGGATTTCAGTTAAGATCTAAGAAGGAAACTGCACATTTGCACAAGTTAGGAAGGTGTCTTGGAGCCATTTCTAAACAGCTTCAGCTGCTAAGATCAGTTCAAACAATTGTACATAAGAACAAGTTATTTACTTATCACCACTTTGCAAAGGTCTGCAAGAAGATCCACATTGTCACTCTCGCTTAAGAAGAAATTGGGAAGGATGTTCAGGAACAACCTATGGACCACCAAAACTCAAGCCTACCATGAACTGGAAACTGTTGGAACAACAGTGAAATGAATTTTGCATTTTCATGGAGTAAGAGAGTACTGACTGAGAAAGAAGCCCCTGCTCCAAAATCGAAACTTTCAAGCTCAACTGAAATTTGTGCTGCCCACGTGGACAAGCCAATTGTTTTCTGTAGAAAGGTTTTATGGTCACGTGAGACAAAGACTGAGGTATCTGGCCACAACATCAAGAGATGCTGCGTGGCATTTCTTGATATATGCAGATATAGGAGTAAAGGTGAGGCTTTCAAATCTGAGAACACTCTACCAGCTGTCAAGCATGGTGGTGGTAGCATCATGGCTGTTTTACTGTTAGTTGTATTTATATATAGTACAAAAAGGACAGACTAATGAAAAAGGAGAATTCCCTCTAAAATTTTCAACTTCACCTAAAATCAACAGCTAGATGGATGAAACTGGGACAGAATTGTGCATTCCAACAAGACAATTATCCCAAATGCCCAAACTGGTTTTGGAATGAATAACACAGGGTACCTTAACCCTACTGAAACTGTATGGCCTAAAAGACAAGTCCATGCCACGAAACCAACCAGTCTAAATGAACTTTACTAATTCTGCTTACAAGAGTGGTCACATATCCTGCCAAAATTATGCCAAAATTTGCTAAATTACATTTAGTCAAACGCCATTTAGCCATTTATGCCCATGATGAGTGTATGTACACTTGTGTGCACAAATATAATTGCACGGCACATATTACATTTATGGATCAGGGACAATTCAAGTTCAACAAAGGTATTAATGAAACACAGAGATCAATATTTTTCATTTACCATACCAACCTAAGCACCATCGTGCTGTCAAACAGCAAAGTTTCTGCTGCGGCTGTGGTCTGATAGAAAGGATAAATATGGTGTCCTACTGCTCAAATTTAACCATAGATATGCTTTTGTCCAGAGGGGCTGGTGTGTCATGTTAAGTCAAGTCAAGTCCAATCACGCCAAGCTGTGCCAAGTCGGCCTGTCAAGTCACGTCAGGTTTATGAGTGCATCTTTGAGCGTGTTTCAAAACAAAACTTGGGCATAAACAAACTTCCTTACCTCTCTCTCACGTTCAGTCTTTGTCAGATTGATCTGTTTAAGCATCTGCGAGCGTTGTTCCATCACCAGGGTCTTCTCGTAAGTGTAGGCTGAGATGTCACTGTCATGCTAAGAAAAAGTAACGTGTGGGTTTATTATGCATATGTTTTCTTACTACAGCAATCCAAATCCACTACATTTCTCCTGTGTAAACCTGTCCCCATCTCTTCAGACAGAATGCAATCACCGCTTACTTCTTTTTTCTTAGATAGGAGAAAATTCACCTGTGAAGGGTTAAGGCTGAAGTATACTAGAACAGAACTAGTCCAAGCAAGATGCTGACAATTTTAGACAGCCTTTTCTTGAAGACATTTGTGGTATGGACCCATTGTTGTACACACAAAAAATGACAAATTTGACTCAGGGAAGAATGAAAAAAAGCTTGTGTGAGAAAATTACACTGCTGCCTAGTTTCTCCCCACTGCACACATGGTTAGTCACTTCATATAGTGCACATGAATGCCTAATTGCAGGTTTTGCTTAGGAAATGTTGAAGAAAACCACAGGCTCTCTCTACTGCCATGAAACATTAAAAGTATTATACACTAAATTACAAGCGATACAATTCTTATTCCTTAATTAAGGGCTTTGGAAAGCCAGACCGACACTCAGCTTTACAGTGTGCTGCTTTTCTAGTAAACACAACCTAGGGAAGGAGGCTTCAGACAATATCCGATCACCTGATATTCATATTTCATGCTGTCCTTTGTGCCATTTACTGGGCTTCTGTAGTGCAACGATCTCAGCAGTTGTGCAGTACCTTTGCCTACCTTTGTGTAGTCTAAAGCAATCAAGCTTTGAGCATTACTGAACATTGTAATGATGTGGCCACCTGAAAGGTACTGAAATTAAAGTACACAATATGAACAAAAGTAATCTCTGCAATTGTTTTCAGTGCCGTTGCCACAGGTGTATAAAATCAGGCACCTAGCCATGCAGTCTACAAACATTTGTGCTTTGTTCCAAAGAGCTCAGTGAATTTGAGTGTGATAATGTAACAGGATGCCAGTGTTGCAACAAGCCATTTTTTTGCAATCCTTGTAGGTGTTCCACAATCACCTGCAAGTGGTGTTAATGCAAAGTGGAAGCATTTAAGAATCACTGCGACTTAGCCACAAAATTAAACTGCGTAAAGTTACAGAACAGGGTCGCTGAGTGCTCAGTACTTCTGTTCATATTGCATTTGTATAGAAAGCATATATCTTGCTTTGAGTTAACTCACCATTTCTACAACTTCTATCATGGCATCGATACGGAGGTGATAGAGGAATGTGGTCAGGTCCTTTTTCATCTGGATGCTGTTGTCGTCCATCTGGGCCACAGTAAAGATGCGCATCTTGCACTTCCTCCAAACCTGCAGAGCAACAACAAAATATGAGGCATCTCCTCACTCTTCTCATACGTCTGTATGGACATAAAAAAATGTCATTAAGCGTTCATATGATCTGTAAGAAATGTGGTTCTGATAGTGTGAATCCAGATTCTACATTGCCTTTACATGTTTGTGAGTGCACATGGATTTCTTTAAGTAGTAACTATTGCAGGGTACCTTGTGCTGGCGGAGCAGGAAGGGCAGCAGCATCAGCATGCCTCCATCATGGACGATCCACCACACGTCAATGTGACCCTCGGTGAAGCGTTCGCCGTTGGATGGGAAGGCTGAGATGTTCTTTGGGACGAGCAGAGCCAAGTTAGCGACGGTAGTTTCTCTGACCAGCTCTGCAGAACAGGCAGACATGGAAAGATTACGATGTGTTGGTTACACTGCATCTGCATTTTTACATTGTTCAGGATTTTGTTTTGAATGTTTTCTGATAAACCTAAATGGCTACGGCTGATATCAATCAGTGATTTTATTTTATATATGGGCCCTTGTTTTTGGCAGTATTTTTGTTCTTTTTTCCTTCCTAGTAACCAACCAATGAAGTTCCTCCAGTGCTGATGCTCGTCTCCTTGCTTCCAGTTGCGTGGCCATGAGACCAAGACAGCATTGTGTTTCAGGCCTCCCAGTCCACTGGCCTGGAGCAGATGTGATGTAGCATCACGCAGGTTAGAGGACACAGTCACCTGACAGAAGCCCTTCACCTTCTCTGTCTCCATCAGCTTACGCAGTGCCTAGACAGGCAAGAGGCAAGGCGGAGAAAAGAGCTGTTACCACAACAAGCACCGCTTACTATGAAGGTGGCAACGGTCAGACTTGATGTTTCATTTGATTTAAAAATATATATTTGCAATAACATTTTGGGGTTTATGGGCTCTTCCAGAGTCATATTTTACATTTTCAAATACTTAATTAGCTTTATAGAAGAAACAAATATACATTGAAAGCTATATGTAAGTGTTTAACATGATTTTTGATAGATGTGCAGAAAAGTCTGCAGGGAAAATATAATTAAGAGACTGCAATCAACTTGTGGTGACACAATATCGTATAGTTCTGTTTACAGTAGCTTCTGTAACTGGATTTAGTATTTTAGCAACAATAGTGCAGATTTTGGTCTGTTGTTGTTGCAATGCATTGTGCTGAAAAGTTTAATAAGTTCCAGTGACTGAAGAGGTACAGGCTGTCATTTACAACATTACCTGCTCTGCACGCTGCGCCTGTTCATAGTTGTTCAAGAACGTGCCCCCTAGAGCTGTCCCAACAATAGTTAGACCTTTGCCTGCCTTCAGCTGGTTAGTCAGTGAAAGCAGACGAGGCTGCTCCACATTTTGCTCTGCATCTGTACTGACCAGCACCAGCAGCTGAGGCCTGAAGAGAAGGGAGATCAGAGAGGAGAGGAAGTGATAAGACGGAGTAGAAAAAAAATAGAAGAGAAATGAAAAGAACAGGAAGAGCTGTGAAAAGACAAATAAAGCCACGGGGAAAGGAAAGGCTGAGATGGCCAAGTAAAAGTCCTTGTTTGGAAGGAGAGAAAGAGAAAAAAAATAGCAAGAAAGGTTGATGTTAATACGAATTTACAAATACTTGATTCTCCGACAGCTGTGACAAGAAGGGTCCTATTACGTGAATAAATGAGAACACGCACAGACATGTGGTTAATTTCTACGGTAATTAGAGTCATGGTACAGCAACACAGCATACGTGTGTCATACCTCCAGTTTTTGGTGTGTGGGGGACCTTCCTCCAACCGCATGAGAGCGTAACGTGCAGCACTTAGAGACAGACCCCGTATTCCATCGCCCCATTCTTTCTCCGCACTGTGACACAGGCAAGTGCCAATCAATATTTGTCAGTCAAAACATGAACAACAGTTTTTGCAGCTTCACTGTGAATTTAAGAAGTGACAGTGATACAGACAGCCCACTGAAACAAATCCCCTTTTAGATGACAGTTTGACATAATGCAACATGATCACAAGGAATCACAGCATTTAAATACTCAGTGTGTATAGGTCTATACGATAACACTAGAAACATGGTTGATTAGTTACGGTCTTTCAGTCACAGATATGATCAAATTTCCTTCACTTTTCCATGATGCTACACCTAAGATACAGAACTAAGGCTAAAGTAAGAACAGAACAGCACACCTGCTAAGAAAGAAATAGTAATACGGCAGGAAAGTTAAAAAAAAAACATTGTTAGTGGAAATAAAACCTAAAAAACACCAGTTTCCATTTAAATTACAGACAAAAATTACAACTTGGAAAGAAAGACCGTTTTTACTAAGTATGAAAAAACAAAACAGAAACCACCTTATATAAAATACCATCTAAAATAACTACCAGTCAAAAGTTTGGACACACCTTCTCATTTAATGTTTTTTCTTTATCTTCATGACTATTCACATTGTAGATTCTTACTTAAGAAATCAAAACTATGAATGAACACATATGGAATTATATAATTAACAAAAAAGTGTGAAAAGACTCAAAACATGTTTTATATTGTAGATTCTTCAAAATAGCCACCCTTTGCTTTGCACACTCTTGGCATTCTTTCGATGAGCTTCATGAGGTCGTCACCTGAAATGGTTTTCCAACAGTCTTGGAGGACTTCTCAGAGATGCTGAGCACTTGCTGGCCTTTTTGCCTTCACTCTGTGGTCCATCTCATCGCAAACCATCTTGATTGGGTTTAGGTCAGGTGACTGTGGAGGCCAGGCCATCTGGTGCAGCACTCCATCACTCTCCTTTTTGGTCAAATAGCCCTTACACAGCCTGGAGGTGTGTTTGGGGTCATTGTCCTGTTGAAATGATGCTCCAACTAAATGCAAACCGGTTTGGATGGCATGCCGCTGCAGGATGCCGTGGCAGCCATGCTGATTGAGTGTGCCTTCAATTTTGAATAAATCCCCAACAGTGTCACCAGCAAAGCACCCCCACATCATCACACCTCCTCCATGCTTCGCGGTGGGAACCATGCATGTAGAGACAATCTGTTCACCTTTTCTGGGTCACACAAAGACACGGCAAGTGGAACCAAAGATTTAAAATTTGGACTCATCAGATGAAAGCAAAGATTTTCACTGATCTAATGTCCATTCCTTGTGTTTCTTGGCCCAGACAAATCTCTTCTGCTTGTTGCTTTTCCTTAGTAATAGCGTTTTCTTAGCAGTTATTGAACAGGTGAGGTAGAGATGTGTCTGCTGCTGGAACTGTGTCGCATTTATATGAACTCTAATGAATTTAGAGAGATGAATTTATCCTCAGCAGCAGAGGTGACTCTTGGTCTTCCTCTCCCGGGGCGGTCATCATTTGAGCCAGTTTCACTATAGAGTTTGACAGTTTTTGTGATTGCACTCGGGGACACATTCAAATTTTTTGTAATTTTCTAGACTGACTGATTGTCAGCTCTTAAAGTCATAATGGACTGTTGTTTCTCTTTACTTAGTTGATTGGTTCTTGCCATAATATCAATTCTAACAATTGTCAAATAGGGCTGTCAGCCGTGTACCAACCGGACTTCTGCACAACACAACTGATGGTCCCAACCCCATTAAGAAGGCAAAAAATTCCACATATGAACCCTGACAAGGCACATCTGTGAAGTGAAAACCATTTCAGGTGACTACATCATGAAGCTCATTGAGAGAAGGCCAAAGGGTTTGCAGCGTTGTCAACAAAGCAAAGGGTGGCTACTTTGAGGAATCTAAAATAAGAGACATAAGACATTTTTTTCTTTGCTACATAATCCCATATATCTTGCTTCATACATTTGATGCCTTCAGTATGTATCTACAAGGTAGAAAATAGTAACAATAAAGAAAAAACATTAAATGAGTAGATGTGCCCAAACGTTTGACTGGTAGTGTACACAGAGAAAGTATTTGTATACATATGATTATTAACTGAACTCAAATCTTGCAAAAAAATTTTGAAGAGGTTTATTGAACAACTTTACCTAGAGTATAAAGTCTGAGGAACATCACATATAGAATAAAAAACAACTCAACCAATAAAACAAAAATGTTAAGATTTGCTAATTAGACACCTACCATCTGTACTCAAACTCAGTCAGGAAACTAACTGAAAATAAAGTAAACTGAAAAAAACACCTGATACAGAAAAACACTCACCCTGCAAACTCGATATACTTGTAGATGGAACCGGCAATTACCATAGCGACAATGGCGTAGTACCAGGAACAGAGGAACATAAGAGTAAGACACAGGCTCATCCCCAGGAAGGAAAGAGTCCTATAGAGTGGAATGCAGAGGCAGACAGACACATGCAATATAAACTGTTTGTGAATCTTGAAATTCAGCTGTTCCTTCGCTTTGTTGTTGGTGAACTGACCAGTGGTAGAACTTGAACCGTGGTCTCCAGTTTGGTGTCCTCAGCAGTGTCTGGAGTGCACATGCCAGATTCACAAACATGTAGCACATCAGGAAGAACCTGCAGGAAACATATATGAACAGGATATAACAAACCTCTTCTTACTTACTCTAACAATATAAGAAAGAGCTCACTCATTGAAATCCAGAAGGGCTGTTATGTTAACATCTATGACATTCACTTGTATTTATGACTGCATTACCAAAGCAGAAAAGTGGTCTACCCCTCTGAGACCATAAAATTTGGTATTTGCATTGTTTAAGTAATAACAGGGGACCAGCTGCTCTGAAATCCCCCACGGTTTTATTCCCCTTAATCTATTTATTTTTTCAAATGGCAAGAAATTAAAGGATTTTTTCCCCAAGTCTTACATGGAGAGGATGGGAGCGACTGCATCCAGGGAGGCAATGAGGATCCCACTCTCGCAGATACAAGCCGTCAGCAGGAGGGACCATGTGGGTTCTCCGTTGGCCTTCCCGTGGCCAAAGATCTACAATGCCGGCACAGAAAACATGTTTACACCACTTCTATTTTAGGAGTATGTCTGCATAAACGTCTTCCTCTACCTTTTTAATTCTAGTCAAGTCATTACATGTATATGTTGACTGTATGTAATAAATACAAAACAGATTCTATGAAAGCAGAGGATGTAATAGTGGTGATGACACCTATGCATTTATGCTTTGAAGCCTCACAGTTAGCATCTTGGCCTTCTTGCTTTTTTCTATTTTGAGGAGAAGAACATATTAGGTTCTCTATTTGGATTTAATATTGAAATGACTTTATTGGTACTAATGTCATTATTGATTCAATTTACTCTGATTACTTTCCTTACTGATTCATTATCAATTTTCTATGTGAAAATTGGTGTATAATACAATTGTTTTACTGCACGTCTCTGAATATAACATTGATAAAAGTAAGTTAACTGTTGAGACTTTGATTAAAATAGATTTAATACTTTTTGTGATGGTTCTTCTCAGCTCAAATCCATCCCCAAGAATGCACACTCACAAATTAGCAAACTATCAATCACTAATGTGTCCAAAGAGACCTCGATTTATTATATTTTGTACTGTAAATAAAATAATAATTTACAAAATGAACAAGATTGTGTAGTGAAGAAGAACTGAAACTAATAACTGAATACATAAAATCATTAGGATATTGTTTTCTGAGCTAAATCAAGTAAGAAACAGAGTAACTTTCTCATACTTCCATACAATTTCGTTTCTTTTTTTGACCCAGGGGAGTCACCACCTATTGGCCATTATAAAGAATGCACTTTAAAGCCCCTTGCCCATTGGTTTCACTATGTCCACTTCTTCTATGAAGTCTGCTGTAAGAAGAAAACAGACTGACCCGAAGAGCGGGCACAATGCCATCCTTGGCAATGGCCTGCATGAGACGAGGCGCTCCCGTCAGGCTCTGGAGGCCTGCTCCACAGGTGGAGAAGAAAGAGCCAATCACAATCACCCATGGTGATGGCCAAGCCAATGTGCCAATCACTAAGTTCCCATGGACGCCCTCTCCGAACCTAAATACGATTAACCAAGTGGTCAGTCTCAGACTTATTGTTGTATTTAGGGATGATTTTTATTCAATCAAGGATAGACTTACTTGTCCCTGAGGACCACACCCTCAATGCAGGCACCAAACAGAACCACACTGGACATGTCTGAGCAAATATGGTTCAAGAAAGTAAAGTCATTTCATAACGACATAAATAAATGGTAAATATTCAACACTTTTTAGTGAGCCTTGGTTTAGTGATTATAAGAATTATAAACCGTTCCATCTGAAGATGCACTTAATTATCTGATAAACCAATTAAGTGCATTTGCTGAGGAAAGACGTCAATCGTTTTTGTGTAGTAAATCTCTGAGATAAGATGCATATTACATTGCATGTAATATGTCTTGGTTTCATTAACTGGTAAGTGCATAGGCAGCTCAATGATGTGATTAGAGATCCTAATCAGATCCTAATCAGATCAGCCATTCCATTATAGCTGCTTCAGACTACATGGTATAGGCTGCCTTATATGTTAAAGCACATAAATGGCAGACATGTGCTCAAGAATTTTGTACAAAGAGAAAAAAACTTAAAGCATTCATTGAAATATTAACAAGGTTTCACATGACAAAATAGCTCAAACTCTAATACCAAATTATAATACCAACATTATTCAGAAGCCAGCTGCCATGATTTAAACAAAGATAGGAAATGTGTTCTCATGAATGGTAGATTCATATTTTGGACTACTTGAGGGCATTAGACTGGTATCACAGAAGTTATGGCCTTTTCAAATTTAAAATGCTGACCTTTAATTATGAGGCTTCTTGCAGGCCAGTGAGTGCGTTTGTGCAGACACTTTAGTTAAAATCTAAAATTTGTAAACTTGACCTTTTCTTACAGTGTCCTTTATGAACTGATCCGTTTTAAATACCACTACAAATTCATTATCCCAAGTTTGATCACAACAAGGCCAGACATAAAATATAGGTAGTGAGGAAATAATTATTCAGTCCCCTGCTGAATTTGAGAGGGTCCTCATTTACAAAGAAATGATAATTCTCTAATTTTATGGTAGTTTCATTTTAATGGAGAGAAACCTTAAAATTAAATATTGAAAAAAACAAAACAATCATTACATATTTGTGTGTCAGTATTTGTTTAAGTATTGTACATGTGGCACACAGATTATAATCAATCACTAAATAATTGTAACTTGCAACACCATTTCACAGAGTCTTACGTCCCACTACCATGGGTATGAGCTAAGAGTATTCAAAGGATGTCAGAGACAAGACTAGACCTGCACACGGCTGGAATTGGCTTCAAGACCACCAACAAGAAGCCTGGTGAGAAGGTAATAGCTGTGATTATTCATGTAAGATTTTGCCTCGTGGGGGTTAGGATGATCATGTGAAAGATGGTGGATCAGCCCAAAACTACACAGGAAGAACTTGTTATTGATCTGAAGGCGATTGGGACTAGTGTCACCAAGAACGCCATTGGTAACACACTACGCTGTCTCCCTGTTCAAGATGACACATTTATGGGACCATCTGATATTTTCCAGTGAACTCAGAAAAGACTTGGAGAAGGTGTCTTGGTCAGAAGAAATCAAAATCAAGCTCTTTGGGATCAACTCGATCCTTCCTGTTTGGTGCAAGAGAAATGCTGAATAAACCATTTCACCAGTCAACATGAAGGTGGAAGCATTATGCTTTGAGGCACTGTTTTTGCTGATGGTACAGGATAACTTGACTGGATTGTGGGGCCAATGGGCGGTAAAATGTTGGACAAGAGCCTCTTTTCTTTAGCCACAACACTAAAGATGGGTTGTGGATGGGTCAGCTACCATGATAACAACCCAAAACATACTGCCAAGGCAACAAAGAAGTGGTTAAAGAAGAAGCACATTAAGGTCACTGAATGATCTAGTGCAGGTGTCTGCAACTTTCAACATTAGAAGAGCCATTTTAGCTCCTCCTACCAGACAATGGGAGAAAGAGAGCAGCACAACTGGAAGATGGGCAGATGATGGCTGTAATTGGGAGAGAATCAATTAATAAACCGGTATATGTGTAACTCTAATCCTAGCCCATGGCTCATGAACCACATTTTGCAGCTAAAGAGCCACATATGGGTTGCGAACCACAGGTTGCTGACCTGTGGTCTAGCTAGTCTCCAGAACTCAATCCTATACAGAATCATTGGAGGGAGCTGGAGTTTCGAATTATTAAGTAACAGCCAAGACAATGGCAAATTCCTCCTTAGGTGTACAAACTGGGTGACCAGCTACATCAAACTGACAATGGTTTCTCTGCCAAGTGCTAAGTCATACTTTGTTTGGGGGTAAAGATACTTTTTCATTTAATGACATTCAAATGAAGTCAAAATTTTATGTATCGTTTTTTTCTTCTGGAGTTTTGGTTGATATTCTATCTTTCTCCGTTAAAGGGACACTATCATAAAAACTCTCCATTTCTTTATAGGTGAGAAAACGTATAAATTGAAGGGGATCAAACAATTATTTTCCCCACTGTATATGCAGTGGTGTGTGTGCATAACAACTGCCGTCACAGCAGTTGTTAAAGGATACAGACAGTAGAGGTGGTGGTGATGGCTGCAATTGTTCCAATGGGGATTGACTTCTGTGCATCGCGCAGGTCTCCAGAACGGTTGGATCCAGCCATGATCCCTGGAGAGACAGTGAAGTGACAGTTGTTACCAAGATCAGAGATTTGTGCACATACTGTAGAAACACGTGCGCTACAAACAGCAGAATGTAGTAATTTCAGCTAAACTCACTCAAGCTGAATAAATATAAATGTCTGACATTGAGAACAACACCAGGGATGCCATTTCTCAGATCGTTAACAAAAGAATCACTCAGCAGCACACTGATAAGTAAACAAATTAATAAATTTGTCAATGATGAACAACAATAAGAAAAAACTAAGTGGACAGAACAGTTTATGCTTTCACCTGTCACAGACGGGAAGTAAATGCCAACCAGCAATGTGAAAAAGCTGGTGATGTCGGCTAACACGTAGCGGTTAGCGTTGGTTAGAGGATCGTCCTGGTCTTCCACTGACTCCATCTTATCCCTGGAAATGAGGTCCCCTTTCTCATAGTAGTTTCCAAACAGGTTATCTGGATTGGCATTGAAGAAGCATAGAGAGGACTAGAATTAAAATATTTATGCAGACAGAACCTGAAAATAGGTGTTTTTAATCCTTCCATGTTAGCCAAATATTCAATTGGTGACTGAACTCCATGACTAATTAACAAATTTACTTTATTCTTCAGCCATTCAAAATTGAGTTAGTCACTATTTACAATTTCTAATTAGTTTATTAAAATCAGTAAAAAAAAAAAAAGATGCTTTCAGAAAACAGAAACATGAATTACTTTGCTTGAGTAGGTGGATTTGGGAGGTTTTTATCTCCCCCTAAAAATGGGAGATAAAATATGATATGTTTTATCTCTAAAAAATAAAGTCAAAAAATTAAAGTGACTTTTAAGTGTGACTCCTTAATTCAGAGTTTACTGTTACACCAGGGTAAAACAAGGTTTGCCTAGCTGTGGGCTTTCTTAGGGTTTCAGGAAGCCCAAGGCTAAGAAATAAATTTGCTCTACTTTGTCTTTGTAACACTAAATCACCATTTTTAACATTTATTAAAAAGATCTGAAAGCAAATATATAGAAAAATGAATCAACTTTTTAAGTTCTTTTTACAACATTTAAAGCTGCTCGTACTGGAGTGTTTCTTGATGGACACTCCAGTACTATAACAACAGATGAATGGGAAAAACAGGACATTCAGACCTAAGAAAGTATTTTATCGTAAACATTTCATTAAAAAAAAAGAAATCTAGAAAAGAACGCCAATGAATTCTCAGTGACTCAGCAGTATAGAAAGATGATAATTGGATCCAAAACGAATGAACCAACCTGCCAAGATTCCACTAGTGACCCCAGGGATGCCCTGGATCTCAGTCACATTGTTGGCAACAAAGTATTTGTCACAGGTAGCGTTGAGAAAAGGTGAATCACAGAACATCTGCCACAGCTGGGTTGTGACTGTCCCATTAGCTGTCTCAATGGTCTTGGCACAAACATCAAAGGACTTCCACACCAAAGTGCGATTCCCCAAAATACACACCCTAGAGGAATAGAAAAGCACACAATTTTGAAATACTGCTGCTGTAGCGACTTTTGTGCATGCATGTTTGATGTAAACAATTTATTTGGACTTTTTTCTTCTTTAAATTAATTTTATAGTTAAACAATATCTGTTGTTTTAAATTGTTTTCTGACATCTATTGACACCTAGGTTAAAACAACGATGGGTATCACATTATAACACTTAGTTTTCAGGTAAATTCATCTAATTTTTAAATATGTAAAATAAAAAATAAGGCAAATCAATGCTGGTGCCTTTGTACCACTGATATAATAATGGCATGTTCTCCAAACCTAGCATGTAATTATGTGTTGCTTTTTCTAAAACAGCATGTAGATAAGATGTGTGTTAGTCTGGGCTTTTGTTACCATTTCAGCTTATATAATATTGGATTATCTTGGCTCTAACTGCTTACGGGAATACAGGTGGATCCATGGCGGTCTTGATGACTCCGGCGTAGACAGCCAAGATGGAGAGAATGACGCATGCCAGAAACACGAGTGCCAGCTTGTTAACATATTTTACGCCAACGAACACCACTGTGGCCATGGAGGTCAACAGGATGGTCCCGTACACGCGCATGTTGTTAAGCAGGGCGGCCTCGGCCTCAGCACCCTCTAGGCCCTCCAGGGGAAATATGGCTGCTTTGGGCACAATGTAGATCTGCAGAGGAAAGGAGCTTATTTATTTATCTTTGACTTTATGCATCCAGGGAAATCAGCAGTACTTTTATCATAAAAAAAAAAATCCAGAAAATATCATTGCTGCTCAAGGACATCTTAGTGGTACATGTTTTGGAAGTGTGACTTTCACTCCTCACCTTCTATGGCCTGTCTGGGGATTTAAACTGGCAGTTTTCAGGTTACAAACCTGCCTCTCTACCTCACTGTTTGCTGCTAAATGGAAAAGAAAGATGTATATATATATTTTTTTAATTTAATGTATCATTTTTTCTGTGTCATGTCAAGTGTACAGCACTTTGTTTTCTCCTGGTAGTTGTCTGAAAGTGCTATATAAATAAATTGCTTGCTTGCTTGGATATAATAAAAAAGGTGAGAAAGGCAATGAGGGATGAGATGAGTAAAAGAGGACAACTCTGTGAAGTGTGAATATATGCGATGTCACATTAAAAGTCCTCTACTGGAGCTTGAAGCACCAACTCGTACTACTGGCTGCTATTTTAATTCTTAATTAAACAACTCAAGCATGGTATTAATATTAAACATTAACTGCCATTATTACACTTTTACTACGGGTCAGTCTAAGAATAGTCAGAAGATAGATGGTAAACCCCTAATTAGACCGTCACTATCTGTCATCAGGTTTAGATGATTCATTGCAAGGCTGTTACATAAGTGTGGAAATTTGTGTCTTTTTTCTCTCAGCCTGAACACTCTTTATCACTATGAAGAGCAACAAGAGAACAAGCAGTGAGTTGTGGTTTCGGTCATTTGGCTGAATGCTAAGAACAGCACATCACTAGGCAAACAAATCGTAGCTTCACGGTGAACTCTTCATGGTTCCTAAAATAGCAGCATCAGTTTGTGTTCCTGACTTGGGTGGAAGGATGAAAAATATTCAAATCAGTCTTCCTCGAGATCCGCTCCTTACAATTCTGCAAGGATTGTTATTTTACAATGGAAACTAAGCCAGCTTTGACCCAGAAGACAGAATTAACCTCCAGACACGATCAAACTCCATATCCATTAGAAGCATCCAGAATAATATTATTAACAATAAAAAATGACAGTTGATAACAGTGGACCACAGTGATGAGAGCTGTTTCAAGGAATGATCCTGTTACTCAGGCAGTGTCTTCATCCCTTATAATGCAGTATTTGCATAATTACCCAATATCCCATGCAACATGGAGGCATTGCAGTGGAAGAAGTGTGGAGTGAAAGGCAGAGGAGGAGAACGAGAAACAGGAGGAGAGAAGCGAAAGATTGAGATAAAAGATCGCGCCATTTCAAAAACTAATCAGAATTCACATTGAAGAGCACATACTGCGAGAAGAAAATAGCTTCAAAGCAAAGTGATGATGAAAATCAACCAAAGGGGAAGAACATGCAAATGCTCTGCTTTCGTTAGAAGCGTAACATTTTTTTTGTTTCACTTTGCACTGATTGGATTTCAGGAATATCAGAAGTTTCATTGATGTGGGTCTGACCAGTTGGAATAAACACCCCCCCCCTCCCAAATTTCAATGAATATACGTAAATTAATATACTTAAATTTTATGGTTTCTTTTTTTTTTTTTTTTTTATACTAGACTTGTTGTACTCTCTAATAACTGTTCCCCTCTTTAGAGAAATTTAGTCAACCAGAGGTTTGCAGGCAGGATTAAAAACAAGGGATCATATTCCTTCTGCTGAACAACAAAAATAGTAACAAGCATGGATGAGATTAACAAGCAATACAGGTCATTGTAGCTACAGGAGTAAATCTATCAAATCATCCTTTTTTAATATATATTTAAAGTGGAGATATTATGCTATTATGAAGGCAGATAACGATACTAACTGTGGCCAAAGTCAAACGCCAAGTCAGACAGAAAGATAAACAAGGATTATTTTGAACTGTAAATCATACAAAGCTACTCTGCGAGAGTCCAGGAATACACACTTTGATCTGGAAATGCACATAATAGGACACCTTCAGAGGAGGAATTTGACATTTGGAGAAATACACACTTGTTAGAGTTGGACAAGAAGACTGACACACACTTAATATGAAGATTGGAAAAGGGTAAAACAAACTCACTCTAAAATGAACAAACAAGCAAAAAAAAGAAGCTTATATTACAACACTGAACAATCACGTGAAAACAAAATTGTCAATTAGTACTGGAAAATGTTTGTTACCTGGTTAAAACAAAGAAAAGAAAGAAAAGATTAGCCACATTCCCTGCACACATTAGTGATTAATGTTTAAATACCTCTGGGCTAGAGGTTTTGTTTGGCTCCTTGCCTTTAACCATTGAAACGTTTCCAATGTTGGCTTCAAATCTGCTTGGACCATAACAACATGGTGCAAAAATCGTTTATATATTACCACTATAATTGAATCTAAAGGGTAATATTTTGCCACTGGAGCACAACAAAGTTCCCCTCAGAGTTGCGGGTCTGACAGTGTTATCACCTTGGTAAAAATTGTCAAAATGTGATGTTGGAGGGTTTACTGCAGGGAAGAAAAAGCTGTGATTTGAGTGGTCATCGTCTACTAACCTGGCAGCTCACATCGTTTTTCTTTTAGGTCATCATGGTCTTGTGACATCACGGATGAATAAGCTTGAAATGGATGTCATTTCAAATAGACAGGATATTAGACGCTTTTCTCTCTCACTCACATAGAAGTGAACTCAAAAAATAAATAAATAAACGTGGCAGCTGTTTGGGATGTATTAAAAACGTCCAAAAACGAGCATTTAACCAGAATCAGTTCCAGAATAAATAAGTGGTTCAAAACAGGCAGTTCACCTGAGGAGAAGTGCATCACAATATGATTCATAAGACCATCTAAGACTTGGTGATCGCTGATTGGTTGAGCCATGATGGGGTGAGTCAACTTTTAAATGGTCCTTCCACACTCCAGGCTGGATGTTTGACACTAGCAGATAAGCTGTTTTCACACATGCGTTTCATTTCTAAACATTGGTGAATAGCAGAAAGAGGTGAAGCTGTTACAAGACAGAGACCTGAACAACGTGGCCAGGACTTTATTATTATTATTGTTATTATTATTATTATTATTATTATTATTATTATTATTATTATTGTTGTTGTTGTTGTTGTTCTTTAACCACTTGCATGGTCTGAGGGTACAAATGCCATAATATTAATTATGGCATTAAATACTAATAAACTATGCTACACTAATGAAATGAAAAGAAAGTTAACATGTTACTGCCTGGTGATGACATTAACAAAGTCAGAGAGAGTGAACACAAAGAGGGCTTCATTCTCACCAAGAGGAGCTCAATAGCTCCGAGGATGTACATGGCTCCAGCGTACGTGGTCCCCAGGTAGAAACAGATTCCGACCGCTCCCCCAAACTCAGGGCCCAGTGAACGGGAGATCATGTAGTAGGAGCCTCCAGCTACACGAACAGCACAAAATCACTCTGAAGTACTCATTTAATGGGTAACTTTGTCTGTGAGAAGACTAAACGATGACATCTCATGCTGAACCATACATATTTTTTTGTATCTGTTAATTAGTTTTGACATTAGCATGTCACCGTGGTGAATGCAGACATTCACTTCAATTTTGTCTCTTTTAACGACTAACATTTTACACAATCAAATAAAAGAAACTTGACAACAAAGAACAAGAGAGATGTTTAAAAAACTGTCCACTGTGTACACCAGTGAATATCCAGCAGATTTCTTTAAAAATTAAAAAACGATTTCCATACATTAATGATAGAAAATAGTTTTTTCTGTAATGCTTTTTTATTTTGGTAGACTGCTTTCTGACAGTTGTAATTTTTGCTGAATTTGCTAGAAAAGGTTTTCTTATTATTGCATCTTATCACACTGTTATACACAAATGCACAAGCAGTGTGCAAATAAATTAACTGAACATAAATAAATAGACCCTAATCAGCACTTTGGAGCAGCACAAGGGTTGGGACCGGTTATAACAGAGACAGTTATAATTGGCATACACTTCCACACTTCTCTACAAGCCTGTAATTTGCTCTGACCCCTGCTGCATGCACACCAACTGGTAAGATGCAGGCCATCATTACTATGTAAACTCGCTTATAAAATGTAGCTAGCCTGCATATGCACGTTCATGTGTCTGTGTACAGATACAAACTTGCCGATGCAGATCTTCATGACAAGCATTTGGCTGATGCTTTATTTTGTGTAAATAATGTTGCGTGACAAGGAGCTAAAGTGCACAAGATCCCAGACTAAAGCTTTTAATGTTTCTGGAGATATCAAGCTGCGCTGGGTGTACTGTGCCAAAAGCAATCAGCGAAAAGAGAAATTTAGAAGCGGACAGACTCAAACAGCGATGACTGTGTGGTGCCAGCGTCTGCTCACCCACCTGGCACTACTCCATTGGTAGCGATGGCACTCATAGAGATGGCAGTCAGCATGGTCTACACAGAGAAGGACAGAGGAGCAGGAAAAGAAGAAATTAGATCAAATTTGCAAATTACGCACACAAGTTTTTGATCTTTTCAACTGTGAAGAATACCATTTATTGTTTTCTTAAATTGTGAACTAAACCTCAATGAATAAGGTGTCATGGCTATTTATATCATCAAAAATGAAATGAAACTGGTAAACTAAATCTAAGTAATAAAATAAAAACAAAACTAAGAGTCTGATTTAGCTCAATGCTCGCAACCACAATGCTATATGTGCAAATCAAGTTAGTTGGAAAAAAAACCCTGAAACAATAATTTTTATAATAATCAGCACTAAATTCAAAGGAGAGATCACACTAATCGGGATGTGGCGGGAACATAAATCTAAATGTCAGACATCTAAAATACATGACTTGATGTTAAAGCTTGAGCAGTTAATGTCAGTCAAAGTCATTGGAACTATTTCAGTTCAACACAGTGTACAAATATGTGAAACATTTTCAAACCCCCTTCAAGATATTTCAGCACAAGCCTGCCTCTGTGCTGCTGCAATAGTGCATGTTGAAGAGTTAGTGGATAACCCTGATCCATCAAGTCATTAGTTTATCCTCTTGCTACCATGGATAGCTGAAAAAAATTGTAATGGAAGTCCATCTAACCGTTAATGAGGCTTTTCTGTGGATACCAAAGACAGAGTAGGGTCTTTCCTGCATTGAAGAATTTTTAGCACATTCCTAGAGGCTTTCAGCAGAGCCGAAAGGAAATCAACAGCAATATTCTAATATTTTTTCTACTCCAGTTTTGTAATTGGAGATGTATTTATTCACGAAATACAGACATTTTGTTTATCAAATGACCAGAAACAAACAGGAAGAATGCACATATTTCTGTCAAATAAGGCAACAGAGACTTATTGGCCTTACTGTAAGTGGACCACTCATGCTTATGTGTATAATTAACTCCAAAGGCCATTTCTGAGCAGGAAGCCCCAAAGAATTAGACTGCCTGACATTGCCATCACTAGAGCCACTGGCACTGCTAAAAATCGTTTACTGTTTTAATGTTCTGTCCTCACTTTCACATTTTATCAGATTCTTTTTAAGCAAACTTCAATTCTTTTATTTCCTCCAGGTAAAGTCCTTCATACCAGCGCCAAGCAATGAATTTTCCCAGCATAGAATTAAAGAACGGACAGGCTGCTCGTTGATTAGATAAATAATAACACCACAGGGCCTGTCAACAGCTGTCAGAGCACATTCAGACATCCAGCGACAACTCTTATGGAACTCTGTCGAGTTGAGATATGTAAGGGCACGGTAAAGCGAAGCTCACGGCTATCACAGTCGCCTGCAACACAAAGCGCGAGTCCCGACTGGCCTGCAGAGGACAAGAGGGAGAGATGTACGCAGAGAGTGGAAGAATGGTTCAGAAGAAATAAAAAATGACAACGTGAAAGCACTGAGAGTGACTGGGAAAGAGAGCGGGAGAGTGTGTTTGACAGTACAAAGACAGCATTAAGATTTCATTATTCTTTTAGTTGCTATTGTTGAATTTCTGAGTGTCTTTTCACATTGTCTGCACATGAAAGACAGAGGCAGACACAGAAAGAGAAACGCGAGGACGAAATGTGAGAACTGGCTGCCTAAAACATGTCTCACTTTCTCCTATTTTTTGGGGCTTTTCTCTAAATGAGTTGTTCTAGTTTATTATGTTATTATTAGTTGAGTTTTGAACGTAAAGTTATATATATTATTAATTCAATCTGTGCTTGCATGCAGCATTAGTGCAATAGCAGTCTGTCCTGGGTAACATTTAAACTGTAATCACCTTCCTAAAATGTAAGGTAAAAAAGAACAACAGTAAATTCTGTTACTGACAAGAAAAGTGGTTAATAAATGCAACATTTTACAGAACAATTACTTATTATTATTTATTAATTTACCACAACAATCAATGGTTGTTTCTTTTCAAAGTTTCTGTTTCAGCTACACTGGAGTGAGGTTTTCCAGCCACGGGAAACCATGCTGGTTATGTTTAACTGTTATTGTATCTGTCTCTGCAAAGATTTTAATGTGGTTAGTGTCACCTGAGGGCCCAGTGGACTGATGATCAGGAGTGAACAGTGAGTTGGGCTCTGTTTCTCACTCTAATCTGGTCATAATGAGGCCAGAAACCCTTCTCCCACCACAGCAGATAAGACAGTAATTGTTTAAGTGTTTTATCTGATGTGGGCAGCAGCCACTCAGAGGTAGTCAGTCGCATACCCAATCACTGAATCTCCATGCAGAAAAGCCAGCAATGCACTTGTCTGATTTGCAGTGCTGGCGGTGCAGCCAAACAGGATTGATGTACAGTGCTTTAGTAATGCTTCGCTCTGAATTTTATGTATGTCAATAATATTAAAGGTAAGTTATACACTATATCCCCCCTGAACCTTTGACTTTGTCTTTAAAACACATGCTCTGTTTTATATTGATACGTGATTTTCAATTACTATGAGTCTGGAAGGTGGTCTATATGTTTTAATTTCCAAGAAGTACTGCACTGTAATTTATGCTCATAGCAGAATCTTATTTCTGCCATCTCATTCTGAAGATATATATCGTTAATTCTAGTCTGAAGCACAGCAAACAATACAGCTCTTTCAGTTCAGTCTGAAGGAGTAGCATTGTAAGAGTTCTGACTATTTCCTGAGAAACAGAGGTTTAGATCCAGTTATTTATGCAAGTGCCAATTTAAGACTTTATCAAAGCTCTTTGTGTGAACCAGTGCTCATGGAGTGAAATATAATTAGAAAACTAAAGCTGACAAACTGAGCATGTTAGTGACAGCTGCGATTTCAGCTGGCAATATCAGTAGGTAACTGGCTTGAAATGAGAAGCCTGCTTTTGTCTGTGTGAAGTCACAACTCACTGTTTTGAAAATAACAAGAATTTGGAGTTGAAAATCTGACAGTATCAATATTGGTAGCCTCACCGTGCGTTCTATGAGAACAGAAGGCTTGACAGGCACGAGGAGTGGAAATGAATGAGGGCGATTAGGTCAAGCAACCAATTATTTGAGGTTTATCTGTGTTTCAGTGGAAACTGTATCGATATATGGATCGATTCTGCGTTGATTTTGTCTACAACCAGCTGCAGACAAGACAAAGTAGCAACTATCACTTTTCAGAACTCAAATTTTGTCTCCAGTTAGATGAATAATTTCACCTTCAATCTATGATTGATTGCTGATGTGCAATTAATGTCATATGTTGTTTTGTTTGACTGAACCACCACAAGTGGCAACAGAAGAGCAGATGATTTTGTTGTTGTCACTGTTGTGAAATACCATTTTTATCACTTTTAGTTAAATGACCCTTTGGGCATCACTGCAGACAGGGACTCTAGCAGAAAAAGTCATGCATGAGAAACTGCCTGGCTTTCATCTCCAATGATCTCACCTGCAGACCCAAATGGACAACAACATAGGATCAAAAGCAGATACTGGAGATCTAATAGCTAAATCTAACACAGATTCCTCTGTAGTTCAAGCACTTGATGACCAAATCATGTCTGTATTCGCAGAACATTTGAAGAGTGGCACTAAAAAAACCCAGCGATGTTCTGTTTTAGCAGGCAGGATGGGCAAAATCTTTCTTCCCACTGACCCAGAGCCTGTGGCCTGTTTTATCGTCCCACTTTCAGGCTGGTAACCTAAAACTGTGATGGTTTGAGAGTTTGCGTTAGTGAACATCCTCTGGTTTATAACTCTCTCTTTCTCCATGAATCCTGGAGTCAGTGCCTCCAAACTCACATGTACCCAAAAGCCCTCTAGGCTCTAAGCATGCCAGTAGAAAGGCCAGATTAGACCTCCCCACCATCTGTCTCATCCACATGAGATACAACAGCACACAGCTTACATTTCGCACAAAGGAGATGTTTTCCTTCAAAATGTAATCGGAATGGTAGCAAGGCCTGAATAATTGCTAAGCCATCATGATTACAGATGAGCCCTAGGAATGTGTTTGGTGAAAAAAGTCATTTTTAAGAAAAGCCTGCCAGCTGACACACTCCCCACTGATGACCCCAAAGGACACTTTTGGTCTGTTTCTTCCCAAAGCTACAGACAAATTCTGAATTGGTCTTTTTTTGACCTTACAGTTGAGCGGAAATTGGTTTCGACAGGACTGGAGCTTTTGCCTTGCCCTGAGAGCGTGCTTCATTATCATGCTTCATTACACAAATGCAGAATTGTTTTTTTGAGGTACAACTTCATCAGATGACATACAAAAGCACAGAAGTTTCAGGGTGCTGCTCATCACTTGAAATCCCTGTGGATGGTATACTATGGAAGGCACCAATGTCAAATGACAGTGATTGAGGTGATTTTCACTTTCAGAGTGATGGTGGGAATGGAAACTATAAGTAAGAGGACGAGATGCTGCTGTGCTATGCTGTGAGACAAGAACAGACGTGGCAGAAAAAGGACAAAAATTGAATAATAGAATAAGAATGAGAGCAAGAGAGAGAATAGAATCAAAGGAAGAAGGAGGAGGAGAAAGGGAATAATGAGACAGAAACATGGAAAAAAGAAAAGGCTTGGAGAAATTGAAGAAGCGAAAGAGTAAAATATGAGGAGATGAGCGAGAAAGGCATCCTAAGCATTTAAATGAGTCACGACAGAGGGCATCCAACCCTTCCCCTCACAGCATTTGGATTCAAGACCTGGAAGTAATGAGGAAGACCAAATAACAGATGACTTTCCATCTAGAATATTAAAGCTCATTTTAATGTGGTAAGAGCCTGTATTCATTATCTGGGGTAAAAAGACTCATATACCAGTACGACGTACACACGTTTGAGCGTCCCTGTTTGGAGAATGCTGTCTGCAGCAAAGCACTGATTTTTAAAATGGTGGCTTGCGTGTATAATTTCATGGTTAATGGTTTAATGTGTCAGAGCCGTTCCACACGGAGGCGCGTTCTTTATATAACGATTCCCTGAATGTTTGAGCACTGCGGCTCGTTAACGTTCCGCCAAGATGTGACAGAAAAATATTGGCGCGAGCGTTTGACAGCTGCAGATATGTGCAGCTGTGATTAAGCACCTGAAAAGTGCACCGTCAGTGACATCCCATGAAGTGAATAAAACATGGGGTCCTGCTGTATATTATTAAGCTCTACAACATGCGAGATTCCTTCGCACTTTGGCTCCTGTGGATTTCACTCAGGTGGGCATCGCTGCGTACACGTATGTACATGCACACACACACACGCGCGCTCATTGCTGAGAGCCCCTGAAGGCCTCGGTGGTTATGTAAGGAGCTCAGGAGGAGAGAGGTGGGGGTTTCTCACACACCGTTCACGCTCGAGCTTATCGCCCCGGGGCTCTGCAATGAGCTCAGTGTGAGTGATAAAAAGTGTGTGTGTGTGTGTGTGTGTGTGTGATATTAAACAGTGAGACGAAATTACTGAGAGATGTTTTTCAGAGTTTATTCTAGTAAATGGACGTAAGGAACTTTTTAGCACTGATTCCTCTGTGTGTGTGTATGTGTGTGATAAAGCATAAGAAATGAAGCATAGGAATTGCAAATGTGTTTGTGTGTTTGCACGACTTCCTGTCAAGCTGTGTCTGAACCAGCTTTGATCTCCAAGCCTTTTTTTTTCTCTCCTGCTATTTTTTCCACCATAAAACTGAGTGCTGTATTTTTTCATGCACCACACAAAATCTTTTTATCCCCTTTTTATTAATTATTTATATTTTTATGATGCTGATGGAAAAAAAATAATAAGCTGATGAGATTCAGTATCTATATTTTAGAGGTAATTACTAAGATATCAGGCTCAAACATGGAATTACATATTATGTTCTATCAATATGCTGTTTCATTCAGTATGCCCTCTATACTGTCACACAGAAAAATGACGGGGCCGCAGCATGTGTCTGTGCAGGCAGTGTTTGGGATTTGAGGGGGTCGTTCTATAAATATACTCAGCTGGAGGAGAATCTAGGTTGCACAAACTCGCAGACAAACCAACATAAAGTCCATAACCCAAAATGCAAATCAGAGGAACGACGCACAGCTCTTACATCTTATAGACCACAAAGTTTTAATTAAACTGTCATGTACAATAAAATTAGCAAGGCAATCCACTGAAAAGCCATACTCAGGCTGGATGCGCCTGTGTTGTCTGACAGAAAGCTCTCATGCAGGGCATTGTCAAGTTTTCAACAGAGACAGTAAATTAAGTCAACACCCTTCAGAATAGAGATGTTAAGCTTTTGAGTGAGGAGGCCAAGTATATGCTCTCTGACAATCAAATGCATCAAACACGATCATCTTGTAGAAGCCAGCCAGACCACTGACAGCAGCGACTTCGATCCTGTGGGAGAGTCTTATGTAATGCGAGTCTCAGGGCCACGGCAGGGTGTCAGTCCAAAGTCACTCTGACACATGACTCTGTGGCAGTGACATTAAAGGGAACCAGGGAGCATCACAGTGTGTCATGTTGTTCTTTTTTACAGACTGAACGTGTGGGGTCTGTGAAATACAAACAGATCATCGACAGAGAGGCAGTTTGCTCTTTATACAGCACAAAAGGAACCTGGTTATGTGATCTGCAACGTTACACTTCACTCAGACCCAGAATCATTACACCGGCTAAAATAAGATGATTAAAACCTCCTCTCTTGAAATTTCACTTTAACACTACTTTGCTGGATTTGGTGCAGGGTCAATGATACCATTCTGGCAAATAAAAATAGATACTACGTCTCACAAACAGCGGCTTTCATTCATCTAATAAATGAAAGATCCCTAGTTCAGGAGACACAAATCCTTTGGGGGTTGAGTCAGGAAGGGCATCTGCTGTAAAAATCTGCCAAAGCAAACATGCGGCGCTACCCGCTGTGGAGACCCCTTGTGAATAATGGAGCAGCCGAAAGTAGCTTCTTCTATGTCTCGAAAACAAGAAACTGCAAAACTCTAAACTATGAGTATTTTCAGAAAATTGAGCTTTTTGAAAAGAGCGATAACACAAAAAACCATTATTATTAAACCGATACAGAAGAAGAAGTTTTATTTCATACATCTCAAACCTCTGTGAACGTTCTTAGTATCAGGAACCTACGTATGTAATTCTCAGCACTGTTTGGACTTGGCAAGACGTAAAAAACATTTTAGGATCCTCTATAATCTTGCTAACGCCTGTGTCCTCAAATATAAACCTGACACCTTCAAGTGAACTGTCGCTGCTCAGAATATGGAAAGAATTTGGCATAAAAATAGGTTAACTAATATACTTAGATATAGTAAAAAGGAATACTATATGAAGCAATTAGATATAAATAGAAATAATATTAAAAGATTATGGGAAATACTGAACAGTGTTATAAAACGTGGGGCATTTGACACTATAGATCATGATATATTAATAAGAAAACTGGAATGTTATGGTGTCAGAGGGGTAGCTTTAGATTGGGTCCGGAGTTATTTAGGTGACAGGAAGCAGTTTGTGAAATTAAATGATGGTTGCTCCTTATGTATGGACATTGCTTGTGGTGTACCCCAAGGGTCAGTTTTGGGTCCAAAATTCTTCAACTTGTACATTAACGACATCTGTAAAGTGTCCAAAGTATTAAAAATGGTTCTCTTTGCTGACGATACAAACATTTTTTGCTCTGGTGATGATCTGCAGAATTTATTGGAGGATACAACTAATGAAATAAGTAAAGTGAAGTTCTGGCTAGATAAAAACAAATTATCATTAAATTTGAATAAATCTAAACTTATGTTATTTGGAAATAGCAGTTTAAATACAAATGCTAACATTCAAATAAATGGTGTTGATATTGAAAGAGTCAGTGAAAATACATTTCTGGGGGTAATAATAGATGAAAAACTTAACTGGAGAGCTCACGTAAGATATATTCATTCCAAAGTATCACGTAGCATTGCAATACTAAAAAGGCAAAACAGGTGTTCGACAGAACATCACTTCATATTCTATACTGTTCACTGGTTTCACCATACTTAGGCTACTATGCAGAGGTCTGGGGCAACAACTATTAAATCGCATTACATTCACTTTTTACTCTTCAAAAAAAAAGGCAATTTGAATCATCCACAATGCAGGTTATAGGAAACACACAAACTCACTATTTTTGCAGTCTGAAATATTGAAAATTGATGATCTAGTGAAATTCCAAACAGCACAAATTCTATTCAAAGCAAAAAATAAAGAACTGCCAGGTAATATTCAGAGTATGTTTTTTTTTGAAAGAAGGAAGCTATAATTTAAGGGGTTTTTGTAACTTCAAAACAGGGAAGGTACGTACTACAAGAAAAAGCTTTTGTGTTTCTGTTCATGGAGTGAAACTGTGGAACACTGTGAATATGGAATTAAAGCAATGTCCAAACATAAAACAGTTCAAAAGTTCAAGAGTTATAAAAAGAGTTATAAAAATATGAACTATAAAGAAAGGGAAAATATTGAAATTAAGTGAATGTCTCTATTTAAAAAAAAAATTCATGATGTTATAATATAGTATATAGTATATCAGAAATCTGTTCACTATTTTTATTACAAATTATATCAGTAAGGAAGCTGACTAAATATTAACTGATAATTTATGGCAAAGGGGTGGGATTGAATAAGTGTTTACTTCTTCCCACTCCCTTTCAACATGTAAATTAATCAGAACGGTGGCTATATTGAAATGTATTGATTTTTGTATATTGTATATATGTATATAAATATTTAAAAAAAAAATTGTATAGTATTTTTCTCTCTCTTATTTTCTTGTCTAAATGTACCTGTATATTGTTTACATGTTTGAAATAAATTACCAAACAAAACAATCTTCAACACTCTGGTTTCCTTTAATGTTATCTCATGTAAGATTAGTTTAAAAACACTTGCCAGTTTGTCACTTTATTATTACTGCTGAATGCCACATTGTTAAGAGGGAAATGTCTGTGAACTATACTCCTATATAGATAATTGCAGTTATTCTTTGACCACACTGCTCCATTTAAGTAAGCTGTAACCTTAGACTTGCCGTTTAAAACCACGACTGGGTCAACTATCCATATTTCTGTAGATGTAACACATTAAACATTCTTGGGGGTGGTACCTTACCAGACTGACAAAGTTTTCTATTGGACATAAACCAATACAATACATCGGTACAGAACTGTAGAGCAAAGAGGGTTGGGCTGTATTATATGTTTAGCAAAGAAATTGTGCTTAACTAAAACCAAGAAAGAATGTCAACATTTAAGCTGTTCAAACACATTACAGCAAAGCTGTTACCCTTAAAATAAGGGGGATATCTTTGTGAAAAATAAACAAAGATACATTGTGTGTATTGTAGGCTGACTCTGCTTACTAAGGAGACTGATTCTATTTAGAGACTGAACAACAGCTGTATGACCAATTTTACTGTGAAACTACCCCTGGCGAACTATTTTTGGATGAAATAAAAAAGAAAGCCGTTTCGGCTAATGCAGAGAAGTAATTACTTGCAATTCAAAGTATGGCACCACATTAATGGAAAACTACTCCTCACTAATCAAAACACAGAAATTACTGAACCATTATAAACATATTTATATCCTCTGTTTCTCCAACCATATTCTGTGCAAGGTCCTTAATCTTTGCTGTTCTCACCAGAGCCAATAATGGTGATAACAATCTTACACTGCTGAACAATAAATTCTGCTACATCTGCTACCTTCCACTCTACAATATGCTACGCTCCACGAATGCTGCACTTTATAAAACGTGTGAAATTCTGAATTTTCACTATGAACCTGGGCTAAACTTTACAAGAATGTACAACACTCACTGTGGTACAGCACATGAAAACGATGATGAAAGTCCCAATGACACCTCCGATTCCCACCAACCAGGTCATCCTGAGGAACAGGATGACTCCGAAGATGTTTTGGATGCACGGCAAATAAACGCCCATCAGTGTGCCGAGCTGGGGAGCCTGAAAGAAGAGAGGGGTGAGAAGAAAGAGACACCTGAGCATTATTCATGCACAGTTACAGTTTAAGTTTCTCCAAGTACTTAATCTAGATTGTATAACGTTAAAATTCAGATAGCTGTCAGACTCCAGATGTAAATGCTTAGCTTGTCTCTCGCTATAAGCATTCCACACCAGATGCGCAGCACCCACTGAATGACTCCTGCTGCATTTTGGCAGATATATTAATCAATAAAAGTCAACACATCAGCCCTGCATGCTGGGAAGCACAGTTTGCAGTATGTGTTATGTGCCTATTTTTTTTTACACGTGCAAAGACCCAAAACAATAAAGCAAAACACTGAACCGATGGTCACATTGCCATTAAGGAAAAAGGCACATAGGACTTCACAGATGATTACTTTCAAGGGCCCAATTTGTGATTTTAAAAAGGCCACTTTGGCTTGAATTCGCTGTTGTTGCCACATTAGCGGGTTGATTTACTGCAAACACACGCTTTTGATTATAGGCTCTTTTTTCTTGTTAGTGTAGTTTAACATATATTTAAAATTACAATCATTTGGGTTATTTTTTTATTTTAAGGATAGCTGTAAGAAGACATAATGTAAACTGGAGTTAAAGAGTGTGAAAGGCTTACAAATTCTATGCCAAAATATACTTTTCAGTCCTCTTGCTTAAATATATGTCTCTCCTACATTCCTGCTTCCAAATCCTCTGCTGACTACAAAAACAGTTTAAGCCCAGGAAATAAAGAAAACTTTGAGATCAGAAAGCAGCCATGTGACCAATCTGTTCAATGAATGCATGAAATATTACTGTATTTCTTTACAGGCTGGGTGTTTGTGTGTCTTGGTGCTGCAGTGCAGTCCCTGGTGTGGATCAGTTGATAAAGACAGCTGCTCTGTACTGCTCTGTGCTCAAGGCTGATCTATTGAAGGCAATTACTGACGCTCGGAGAATCACGACGTATTTTGTTGCACTTCTTATTTATTAATAGGAGGATTCTCTTGCCGAAGGTTTTTGGATGCACTTGATGTGAATGCGTTTGCATGAATTTGTTAATGAACAGTATATGAGTGTTTCCAGTGTGGGTCTGTACCGTCATGATGGCATTTATTAAATCTGAAGGACACAGCAGCTAACCCTGTACATAATAGAGAAATATTAATTTCCTGCTCGAGGACAGCTTGGCCAATGACAGGTAATTATTCTAGTATCCAGCCATGACCCATTTTACCAAGCGACCTTCACTGTCACATCATTAAATCACAGATACATGAACGAAGCTTCTCTGCTGCATGTTTGCACTTAAATGCAGCTTAAAATTGTGAATAAAGGATTGATTAGCTGTAGATTGAGTTAGTAAAGATGCTAATACACAGAAAGGTTACAAAAATGTTTCAAGTATTAAAAACAAAACAGCAGCTGGGTGATAAAAATTTATCTCAAATGGGAAATTACAGCTAAACTGGGAACATTACGTCAATATAATTATACACACAGTGTTTACTGAGCTTTACTCGTACAACCAAAGACTTTCGTTAGGATAGGAAGTACTGAATCATAGATAGTTTAATTTGGCCTAACTTTATCCCCATCGTCAGCAGTAACTGCCCTTGAAGTGACAGTACAAGGGTCTTTAGGTTGCTAATTGTTCACACCTGACAAGGTGTGGATAAAGACATGCCTGGGTTGGCTCATTATCACCTCCCTGCTGTGTTACCTTAAGTTTTATCCCTTGATTTTTAACGCTGGATATCTAGTAATTTAATTATTTTTCCTAATAAATCACCACGTCACCCAAAAATGTATCTTGTTGCTCACAAGCTTTGTGGGTTGTAAAACAAAATGAACTTCAGCAGGCAACGTGCTTACAGACTTATGGCTTTGATACAACATAAGGACATAAAAATCAAAGAAGCTTATAATTAAAACAAAACAAATGATTATATTATACCCAAGTACCTGATAACTTGAATGAAATTACAATATTGTGCCCATAATACTAATGTGACAATTCTGTAAATAATGGCCTGTTTTGGGTAATTTGGTACAGATACAGATTTGGAAATATTATCATAGGAGATGTCTTGGTCACAATGATAATAAGGTGAAACTCTAACATTGCGAAACCCCAACGTTCACAATTTAGGACCTTGCATCTGATGACAATAGGAGACCTAAATATGTGTTTATGTGTAGAAGTTCTTTTAAAATGTATGAGATTCTCTAGGACAAAAAATAAATTGTGCTGGTGATTCAGCAGCATTTTGTTACCAAAAATCATGTTGACAAATCTTTCTCGGGTACTCAGCATGAACAGTTACATGTTTCATTAAAGCTGAGATATTAACTTTTCCTTTTTTACTCCATAATCTACGGTTACTGTTGTGGATGATCATAGGAACACAGCCAAAATTTCAATAACATGTAATCCATGTGAGCTAAAAAAGCTCAAGCTTTAGACTGCTCCTACTCTTGGCCCTGTATGATATCAGTGAAAGCAGATATCCTTAATACTGTCATCACATGCAGACTGGTTATGAACACAGGTCCACCCACCTGCTGTTCAAACCTTCTGTTTTATAGTGGCAATCAGAATAAAGTTGGCATAAGGGGAGGGGGAACAGACCTAAAACGTCTTATTGCAGACATTTGATAAACAGGAGGGCAGTACCGAGGCACAGCAAAATATTATGGCTGAAATTATGGAGCTAAAAATGAGCATAATAAGTCCTATTTCAACACTAATGAAAATCTGGTTTTGCCGATTTATTGAACTATAGCTAATAGCTTACTGCAGGGGAATCAGTAAGAGCCACGCGCAAAAAGGTTACAGTATGTCTGGGCTAATTTGGAAACAGTGTCACACAGTTACGTGAGCAGGGAGCTCTTAGCTTTTGCTTTTTCACATAAAAGTGTTTCTTCCATGATTACGTATTTTAAACTCTCAAGTTCAGCATTGGTTTCAAAATGTATGATGAAATAATGATGTGCTCTGGGGAGAACCTTAAGTGGTTCGTGGTTATCAGTCACGGCCTCTAATATATTTCTTCAACAAGGGTTATTAAATTTGCTGTAGCAAATGGACACTACACAAGATGGAGAACTTAAAACCACGAGGCCCACACGGGGAAGTGACAGCAGATGCTGAATTCATAATCCAGACTTTTAATCAAATCATCCTGACAAGTGGCTGACATCAAATGAATAATGTTGTGTCTGATGCTAGAGTATGTGATTTGTTTGGAGAGGCCTGCTTTCCAGCATTAATAATGTATTGTTTGCAGAGAGGAGCAGAATGAGAGAGGTAGAGCTGGAGAGACAGAGGCAGAGCAAGTCCAAGCAGGTCTTACAAATATAATTATCTTCTAATTTCCTTTAGATAAACAACAGAGCAAGTGCTCACACTCGGAAATGCAATTAGCAAGCTTATCACTTTGGAAGCCCCTGATTACCTCACCAGAAGCACTCAGTTTCTCACATCATATCATATCATATCTCAATATCTGATTATATATACCTTACCTGTCAGTGGACAAAACTGGTCATATGCTACATGACAGGTATTGATCCATTCTACAAACTGACCAGACCCCATGTTCTTGAACAAGCCTGATGGGCTCGTGCCCCACTCTGCCACCCCCAGGGCCCAACAGATCTACTGACTTCCCACTGTGAGACACCACAGAGAAGTCAGGACATGAATGGCACCCACACAGTATTAAGAATAGGCTGATAATACTGCAACGGATTAGTGTTTGCTCCATCATGATATTTAACTTTTTTAAGTTTCTAGCTGACATAACTTGACATAATACACCATTCAAAACAACAAGTGTGATACAAAACAATGAACCAGCCATGCAACCGATGAGTGTTTTGACTTCCACCAACTGAGAGAGCTGTAAAAGAATGACAAGTGGGTAAACTTGTAAAACATTTGTGTTTTTGCATGCTAGCAGCTTTATATTCTGTATTTTAAAGACTGGATAACCATTAGAAGACAAAAAAAAATGCAACTGATTCCAGCACAAGTCAATCTTCCATTGGTTTACCACATAGCCTAGCACTGTATGTGATTCCTAATGTTTTCTTTGCTTTTGATTACAAATTTCTATTTGGCTAACACAACTGAATTATCATCAGCGGCAATTTTAATCAGAAATATTCGTCAATTATTTCTTTTGTTTTTGGGCATTTGCTCACACAAGCCTCTTCAAGATGTCCTTGGAAATTCAATGTTTTTAATTTTTTTTGCAGCTGCAGGATTAGATGTTATATTGATTATTAATCAACAAAAAGAGTAGTAGATGAAGAGATTATAAAACTAATCATTAGTTCCCCTCCGGTTTTCTTGTTCTATTATTTGCAAGATTAACAAAGTAAATCTAAACTGCACTGTTGTTAATCCGACACTTCAGTTTTTCCAGAAGGTGTTTGTCATATTTTCCCTGTGTGTGTACACTCTGTCTTTAATATGGCTGACATGTAATCTACAGCTTCACCTCTCGCACAACTTAATCCTCGCAGCGGGGAACCTCTCAACTTTCAGGCTCGCTGTGCTTTAATCAAAGATCCACATCTTGGGCTCCGCAGGTTGCTCGAGGGAGCAGCTGAGAACAAACCCCATTCATCTCTGTCATATCTCCCACTATATGATTATTATTTGCACACTTTGTCAGTTGTCTAGGGTATGTAAATAAGATTGCTACTCACTGTGCCCTTCAGTGTGTGGCAGAGAGCATTTCTCATCATCTGCATGTCAGCGTAGACAAACCCAGTGTAAACCTTGAAAGGACTCATATTTGTAAAACTACATATATATTATCTAAGAGGTGGTTTTACTTCTAGTGTATATCTCTGGTCTGTGTGCACCTGATATATGTTATGTTGCTCGTCAGAAAGACAGCACAGTATCACTGTACTCTGCTTTAAGGTTCAGTTTTTATTTAATGAAAAAAACAGACAAACAGTAGGAGTAGTATTAAAGTCAAACAGAG